AGATTGGCCACCAAGCGAGACCCTTTGGAGTAATGAATATAAGATAGGATAGTTTTAAAGATATAGACCCTGGCCAGGAAGTCCACAGCATGAAGGCTCATCCAGCAGGCCAAGACAAGCCTCAGGGCTTTTTTGGATTTGAGAGAGTACAAAGCAAAGGAAGAAACACTGGCATTCAGAAACGTGGATATCTGAGAAACAGATCAAGAACTAGAAACGGAGAAAAACAGCTACAGATAAAACTTTAGTTATTCCATGGCTTGCCCCAGCATCAGACCTGACTCATATCCCACAACCTTTCCCTGTAGCTAGGACTCTTAGATATTCAAACTTTGTCATGAAAAAGCATTTCCAAATTTGACCATACATTTTTGTTGATGGTCTGCAACAGAGCTTTAGCAACCCAGAATTAATGTTCCTCTCCTTCCAGTTCCTCCCTTCACAAAAGGGAATGGCTGAATGCAATAGAGATATATACAATGCAATCAACTTCCTTTTTGTTTTATGCTCTTCTAATAGTTGGCAGAAAGGGTATGTTTTAAAATAGTCACAGGAGTTGACAGGTGGAAGTCACCACGCTCGAGCTGCAGATCCAAGTTTGGATATCATTAAGCTTGCTTGAAAAAAGAGATTAAAATGTTGGGAAACTCATTTGAAAGACATGTACTTGCCAAAAATATGTAAAACTAGGCTTAAATTATTTTCAAAAGCAGAAATTAAGTAATTCAAACTAGGTATATTTTTACTTACATGAATAAACCTTAAATACACATATACACTTACATACCTCAAGCCCAATTTGGCAGACTGTTAAAACAGAGTGCCATCTGGGAACCTGATTCCTAAGAAATGACTTTAGAGCACTGTCACAAAATCAAGCACTCTTCTTAAGCTTTAGTGAACAGTTACATCCTTGAAATACAACTTTGAGACTCTTTTATTTTCCTGATGGAAATATGTTAACACTAATTTTGATTCCAAATACTGTTCCTTTGGCACCTAACATGTGTAAAGATAATAGATTTTTAATTTCTGTACTTTCATTTTAATAGGCCTAAAAAAACAAACTCGGTTAATATCAATGTTTACTTAAAGTTATATTTTATACCTAAAATATCAATACTCTGAATAATAAAGTAAGTCTATACAAGAAAATAATTTCTTTGCATGACAAATAGTATTCAAAGTCATTGCCATCCTGTAATTATATTATGAACAGAATGTATCGGAAGAAGTGCTAAAAACTGGATTGGAATGGTGAGGAGGTGGAAAGAAGAAACATGTTTACAATCTGTTCAATTTCTCAGCTTAACATTTTTGATATATAGAGCAGTGGTTTAAATACAAGACTAAGTTTCTGAGTCAAATTGCTAGATACATAAAGTTAAAGTCTTTAATAGTTAAACCCTACCTTTCTGCCAACTCTTAGTTCTCCAGTATAGGACCTCTAGGCTACTCTGTCGAGTTGCTTTCTACTACAACCCATTGTTCTGTACCTCTCTTAATGACCAGATGCCACCACAAAGACGATGGCACTTGCCAGAGGAGCTCTCCGGTGTGCTGTGGCAGGCTGGTGGGGACATTATGCTTGATCTCCTATAGCCCTTTTATGGAAGGCCTGCACAGATGGCTCTGTGGGAGCCTCGCCACCTTTTCTCTGTGGAGTGTGTGTGCTCAGTGTGGATGTTTAGTAAATGGTTAAGAATAATGATGCAGTTATTCATCCACACAGAAGATTGATTTTGTGGCCTCAGATTGGGGTAGATCTCAATCTACCATTCATGGAGACTAAATTATAAATTTTTCATTAGCATTTTCAGAAGAAAAGAGGTTTATATCTGAATTGAATCTCAGAAAACATTAAAAAAAAAGAGGTTTCTTCTCAAAGAAGAAAAAAATGGGATCTTAATAGGACACTACCCCTTAAGTCAGGAATATCAAAATTAAAGGTATCACTTGATCCTTGAATATATGTAATCCCTAAATAAATGGAATATTTCAAACACATTTGAAAAAATTAAAACTGCTTCCTACAAAGTACAATAATTATTAGAAAATAGGATAATTTACAGAAATATAAAGAATACGCTAGTTTTGTTGATTAGTAAAAAGTTACTACTGTGAATTAAATTATACATTTCTGATTGCTAGAAAATTGAAAACTAGTTGGAGTCCTGGATTATTGAAACTATTCATTAACAAGAGCTCTTGACTTGCTTCTGCTACCGTCACTTATTTTCAACACACACGACTCTCCTTGTGCTCCATACAGCAACCATCACCACTGCTCACTAACAAAAAAGTTCCCCACATTTTCCAACACGGAGAAGATTGACTGTCCTTTCCTATTTGCTCTCATTATGTGTCATGATTAGATCCAGTTTCCAGCAAGGCCAACAACACGTCTGTGCACTGGTAGATGCAGTCTGAGCAGTCATAATACAGCATTTAAAATCATCTAATCATTTGTTACGCTTTGTTAAATTTAATGCATACAGATAAGCAAAATAATTTCAGAGTGCTTACACATATTACCACACTCTCAGACAAGTTACAATGAGCCTTCCCATTTAAACAGACAATAAACAAATACAGGAATGTATAAATTATATGTCACTAAATAAAAAGTTAATATTTTAGTAGAATGCCAAAGCTGTCACCGTCAGTATCCTTCATTTCCACATGACTATTTTTCTGGCAGGGAGGGAATAAGTAAGAAATTCTAAGCCTAAAGCCAGAGTTTCTCAACTCCAGTACTATTAATATTTGGAGTAGGAAAATTCTTTGTTGTAGGGGCTATCTCATGCATTAAAGTGTATTCAGCAGGATTCCTGACCCATTAGATACCTGTAGCACCCCTACCCAGCTATGGCAACCAAAAGTGTCTCCAGACGTGGCAGAAATCCCCTGGTTGGCAAAACTGTCCCCAGTTGAGAACCACTGATCTAACCAACATCAAATCTTTTGATCTGTAGTAACGATAGGACAAGAATTTTGACCCAAATGAGTCTCCACATTATATATTTTTTAAAAATTAAAATGCATTACTATGTAGTAAGCAATGATTTGCTTTTCTTTAAATCTGCTTCCTTTAGATAAAGTGCTGTCTCAAGGCATAAGAGCCTAGACAACATTTTTAAAGAAGCTGCTGGTCAGTTTCCTTAGTCTCATCTGGGAGGCTCCAGTGCTTCCACTGCAGCAGACCCAGGATCGACTCCTTTGCTTTTTGGCCCAATGAGATAGAATTATCAGGAAGAATGTTCTTGAGTGAAGTCAAAGTTCCTACTCAGGCATTCTTGCAGGCACTACTTAGGCACACCTTGCTTCGACGGACTTGTGGTTTCCACCGAAACAAGTTGTTCTGCATACTTCTCGCTGCAGCTCTAACTACGTGACCTCAAAGTTTCAGTTTGTCAGTAATTTAATTTCACCGAAGGCTGAGCCCAGATACTAATTTGTCTTAAACATTTTAGGCCCAACATCTCATGAAACAGGCTCCAGGCAAACACTCTTGGACTTGGGAGCCAACAAACATGTTTTGCCTAGTCCTCAGCCTACCCAAATACAGCCTACAGACTTTCAAAACAGAGTCTATGATTTTAGGGGGAAGCACGTTAATGCTTAACAAGCATCCACAACTTAAGAAAAAGACTTTCAAAGTCTAAAGCTCCTTTGCCCATCAGATAGGCCTTATGAAGAAATGTGCTGATAAGGAAAAAGAAAAAAAATACATCTAAATATTTCATTTTTATGGAAAGTAAACATGACCCCACATACTGTAGAAGCACACACTTCACTTCGGTGATGAAATTTAGAATCTCTAAACTATCTTTCAATTAGTCAGAAATGCGGGCAGATTCATCCGTCCCATAGACATTTCATTACCATGGAGTTTAGAAAAGCTTATTCAACAGAACTAGAAGCAGGTAGGTTCAAAACAGCATGTTCATTTAAAAACATATATTGTTAGACTTTAGAAGCATAATTCTACCTGGGTCTGGTGCTGTTTTGTGTACTGCTATCACAGGTATGTACATCCCTGGTTATTTTTCTTCAAAAAAAAAATTGGTCATCCAGTTTTAAAAATAACTATTAAAGCTTTTACACAGGGATATTAACCACATAAGCTAAATCTTTGAACTGGTAGAAACCGATTTTTCCATTTTCATTATTTCTATAGATAGAATAAGGTGTTTATTTTCTCCCTTACAAAAATATTAATTTGGTTTAAGAGGCAGGATGACAAAGAGATAGTTATTATGTGACACAGTTTGTTAATGATTGCCTGGAAGCAAATTAGATTTATAGGAAAAGTAAATAAATCTCATCAGAGCTTAAAACCAGATTTCCTGAAACTGCATACTCCCACACAAGCACCATTTTCCACCTAAAATCTAAAAGATACTGGCGTATGTGTTCTCACCCCCACTTTCACTTTCTCATCCACACTATTAAGATCGTGGAAAACAGCTCATTTTTAAAAGTCAGCCACAGCCGGCAAGGTCCTTGGCATTACATGTTGGTGCCAGGCACTGCTGCCTTCCCAATATTAAGAGAGTCTTTTTTACCACTTTCCTATCTAATTTTATGCTAATAATTATGTCTTCATTCCAAATATATTTAAAAAATTAAATATTGTTGTTACTCTACAAACTATAATATAATCCCTAAATTCACCTTGTAAGTATAATGAATATCTTCAACATTAGCAACCAAACACTACCATGTTGGACAAGCGTTAAGCTATTAACACCACTATTCTGGTCAGATTAGAGATTTATAGTAAGACCATGCTATGTTACGAGTTACAAACAGCTTCACATTCACAGTCCCTAAGCCATTTTTAAAATAGTCTCTTTTAGAATGAGAACAAGAAGACAGAGAGAGAGGGAGATTTTTTTCTGTAATCATGAACTCTCAGGAATTCATTTCACTTAAGCTACAAGCTCTAAGTTTAAATATATGTATATATATATATATAACAAACTGTTGAAACTTACTTGACAGTGACTCGATTTGATAAATCCTGTAGATCTCCAGGATGGAAAAGCTGGGCTTCTTTCAATCCAATCTGTTCACAAGCTTTCAAGAAAACGTTTATATTATCCTGTGAAAAGAAATGGAAAGTGATTGCTTAGCCGAGCTCTCTCTCAGACAAAGGTTACAAATTTTTATGATATAACTTCGAAGCTTCAAAGTCCAATTACAGTCAGCAAAAGAGGCGGCAACAAGACCCATGCATATAAATATTTGAAAAAAATACATAGGGCTTATACAGCCTTTCAGTCCTCCAGAACATACACGGTTGTGCTATCTTATGCCCGGGCATACGCTGCTTCTGTGATCTTTGTGACTGGCACGTTAAACATTACCTGTTACAGGACAAGTGCCTAGCCACTGAGCAGTAATCTACACTTTGATGTCAGCTCTGTTCTGCAAACAAACGCCCTCTTCCCAGCTTTGCACGGCAAGCCTCACCTCTCCTCTTTAAAAATAACTCCAGCTACTGACATTCACCCACCCAGAAACTGTTGGCAGGGAAGAAATAAGAGGAGGAACATTCTGTTTCTATGATTACAAATTACAGAACGACTGTGGAATACCACACCTGGAATCTGGGTTTGGTTGCTGAGCTGGCTCTTGACAGACAGGGAAACCATACTATAGGACAGAGGAGAAACCTAGCGTTCATTGGCTAAACTGCATAGTTTGTGTGGCACATTACTCACTCCCTGCACCTGCCTCAAGAGCTGCCTCCAAAAAAAATGAAAGTCTATCCACTCCCTCCAAGGTTGCCCTCATATCTAATTTCAAAACCCAAATCCTCCATTCACACACCAGTGCTTTTCATTAATGTAAACTGCTGCACAAACACAGATTACAATATAGGCTATTTTAAAGCCAGCTACATTTCAGAGACATACGTTTGGTTACCAGAATTAGCTTAGGCTTCATCTCTACTACTCTAAAAAAAAAAAAAAAAAAGAAAAGAAAAGAAAAGAAAAAAGAAAAAGGAAGAAAGAAAAAAGACTTTATAGGATTAAGCTAGTGCCGAGCCCATGAGGGCTCTACATATGCACTGTGTTAGGATTCTCAGGTAAAGGGATGGCCCCCCAGCATGCCAACACACATCTGTCCACTGAGGCAGCTGGCAATGCTACCTCTGTGGTGTGAGCCTCCTTGAAACCTCGCCTCCCATCCCTAACAGGTGACTTTCACAGACCAGAAGACAGTCTGCCACTTGGAGAAAGGCAATTACTCTTTTCCCAAGATAAAGTGGCTAAATTCTACAGCTTAGGTTCTTGGAGAGTAAGGGGATCTAGGGAAAGCACAAGAAAAGGTGTGGCCAGAGAAAAGCAACACTGATTACTCGGAAAAGAGACATCTTAAAAAGCCAATATTTGTATAAGTAGGAGGTCATTCCAATCTCCTGTGAATAAAAGGCAGTGAGAACAACCTAGCTGAATGCTGAAATCCATGAATCATTTTAAATAAGATGAAGTCAAAGAGTAAAGACTTGCAAATCAAAAGTTGAGCAGCTCAATGAAAGGTGTTTTTCATTTGACTTACTATGGAAAAAAGAGAAATAATTTATTGGCAACATTCCAAGAGGAGCAAAAAGTGATAATTTTGTTAGGCCCACAGTTTCTAAAAACTATACTATCTGTGAGTATCAAATGATACAAATTAGCGGTTCTAAAATTGGCCGTCTGAGAATCAGGCAAGAACAAATGGTTGGATGTACCAATACCCCAAGTTCCATAGTGATATGGTTTGGCTCCGTGTCCCCAGCCAAATCTCATCTCAAATTGTAATCTTCACATGTCAGTGGAGGAAACTGTAATCCCCACATGCCAAGGGAGGGAGGTGATTGGATGATGGGGCAGTTTCCCCCATGCTGTTCTCATGACAGTGATGAGTTCTCAGGAGATCTGGTGGTTTTATATGGGGCTTTACCCCCTTCTCTCTCTCTCTCTCTCTCTCTCTCACCTGCCTCCATGTAAGACATATCTGCCTCCCCTTCTGCCACAATTGTAAGCTTCCTGAGGCCTTCCCAGACATGCAGATCTGTCAATCAATTAAACCTTTTTTTTTTTTAAATAAATTAGCCACTCTCAGGTAGTTCTTTATAGCAGTGTAAAAATGAACTAATACACATAGGAAGCAAGTCTTATATCAATAAAGGAAAAACAAACCATTAGAAGTCTTCACACAAATTCAACACATTCAATTTGGTTCTGAATGTTTAAAGTATTACATAAAATATTAAAATAAGATTAAACTAAAAGTTAACTTAGTGAAATGAGAGTCAAAACAATTCTTCAGATATTTTATACAAACATAATAGCATTCTTCTGGCTGACAAATAGATATAGGTTGATAAGAACAGATAAATAAAGCCACACTCTCCTCAAAAACCTCTGACATAAAACGAAAGCATTTGATATCTAAAGTGACTATACTTAATTGAAGACAAAGTTCAAGAGAAGATACAAATTAATATGGTTAAATTCTAGTCTTAAATAAAGCCTTTATTTTAAGAAAAAAAAGCAGAATATCTTTTAAATTGTTCAATGATGCTCAAGTTTAAAACAGAACAACTTTATAAACAAAGTCACACATGGCATATGCAGCAGGACCAGGCTGTACTAAGATCGGTAATGTAGCCTCAGTCATTCCTCCTGGACTTCAGCTCACTCGTAATTTATTATTTGCAATTTTAAATGATCCAGGTAAAGAGGTGCCTAAGAATATACACAAAATTTTCAAATAAAATTTTCATGTCAGTTAAAACTTCAAGAAGCCACACCAAGCTCAACACATTAAAAGGGAAGTATTTAGTTCTCATTTAATAAAATTATTTTCACTTGAAAGTAGCAAAAAGAAAAAGAAAAATAGAGGTCAAATTAAAAAAAAAAATCTTATCTAATTGGACCAGTAGCCAGGACTCCAAGTTAGCTTTGTCCCTAAACAACTGTGTGGCTTTGGAAAGAGTGTTAACATTTCTGGACCCATTTTCCTCATCTCTGAAATGAGCAGTTTGTGAATCTGTAACCCATTATCAAGGGTAATCATTTTTCTCGATGAGAGAAGGGAAACCCAACCCTGCCTGGCCCAACCCATCACACAAATATTTCACTGCCCAACTTCCATAAAATACTTCATGTCAAAATCCTGCTCTAAACATCTGTAAACCCTGTACTTTCAGGACGAAAAGTGGCTTCTCAAAGACAAATCAAAACATGCGCACCCACATGCACACCCGCACACGCACACACACAAAAGAAAACAATGAACCCTAAATGTATCTAATAGCTCCTTTTAGCTTTAAATGTTTCCATGACTATGAATAAACACAGGCACTACATAAACAGGAAATATACATGGCTTTAAGATGTTCATATTCTCTCCAATCTCCCTTCCAGCCCTTATCCTCCATCAATTATAAAGCAGTCATAACAGGTGTAGGGTGGAGCGGGCTAGGGTAAATTAGAGAGCTTAATGATCAGGCACAACAGTACTTACCACTGAGCTAAGATGGGGAAACCACACCGATCTACCAAGACAATGAAAGTTTGTATTTGTTCACTGTAGTACCCTACTACTTATCTATTGATGCATAATACATTATCCCCAAACTCAGCACCTTAAGGGAACAGGCGTATATGATTTCACATAGTTTCTGAAGGAAATTCAGGAGTGGCCTTAGCTGGATATTTCTGAATTGGGGGACAGGACCTCTCATTAGGTTGTAATTGAGATGTCAGCCATCACTACAGTCATCAGAAGGCTTTCCTGGAGCTTGGAGGAGCTGTTTCCAAGGTGGCTCACTCAGGTGACTGACAAATCAGGGCTGGTTGTTAACAGGAAGCCTTGATTCTTTACCAAATGGACATCTCCAAAGGTTGCTTGATAGAGCCAGTGATCTAAGAGAGCAAGATGGAAGTTGGAATGTCTTATGGTGTAGCTTTTGAAGTCACATTCCATCATTTCCTCAGCATCCTCTTGGTTACATGGTCAGCCCTATTCCATGCAGGGAAGAGGGCACAAGAACACAAACTCCAGGAGGTGAGAATCACAGGGTTGCGGGGGGGTGCTCTCTGGAGGACTGGCTACTGCACTTCACTCTCTGGACCCAGCTCAGTGATTCATGTCCCGACCATGCGCAAAATACACTTAAGCCCTAATAGGGCCTGCAAATTTTCATCCCTTTACAAGGTGATGTGGAATATCATCACCTACGTCTGATCCAGGAGTGTCTGAGATTTCTCAGTTGTAATTCCTTAACTATGGCCCTTGAATAAAGTTCCTCTCAACTGGAATGCCAGTGAACTAGGACAAGTTACATGCTCCCACACTCCCAGCATGCAATAGAGTGACAGGTGTAAAATAAATCACTATGGACACTTCAGATCAGAGAGTAGAGGAATGAAAGGCACACAGGAGTCACTGGTCCACAGACATTCTAAAATCCTGCAAGACACAGGTTGGCAGTTCCTTCGTGAGGACTCAAGGCCATGAATCAAAAATTCATGATTTTTCGCTACACCCTTTGGATTCTTGGTGCCACCCTAAGAGTCACCTTTGCTTTTCACTGAAAAGTAGCCTATTCTTTGTGGTTATGTAGGTTTTTCAATTTACTTCTTTAACCTACCCATAGCAATTGAGAGAATTAAGGATCTCTTAAGTACACAATTCTCTATCCCTTTCAGCCTCAGATGGCAGTATTTCTGCAAATACAATTCTCTCAAAGATGCTATAAATCTTCTGTGAATCTTATTGGAATTTATTCCATTAGATAAAAGCTGCAACCATGCGTCTCTTCAAGAGCAGCCCTTCTCTTCCCTCGTATCCTGCTGAGATGACTGGAGGACAATATGCTTAAGGTTCTCAGAAGCCCTATTGCTTGACTGGACAGAACCCCAAGGTACCATCTTGAATCTAAGAACCTAAAGAATTTTACAACCACATTCTCAACTCTTTTATCGGCCTTACTTTCTTGCGAAGTGTCTGAATTTAATCTTGCAAATTCTTTGAATTTAATCTATGCCTGAAAACCATTTCTCAATTCTACCATCTTAGAATTTACTTACTAAAGAGGTGACA